GAAATCCAGCCCTGACCATATGATCCACCTTCAGAACTTTATTCAATTATTTCAGGTAGAAAAGGCAGATAAACTAGTAACTAAAGTGTGTTCATGTATTTTTCCTTTACACGTTGAGCCAGTAACCTACCTTCCACCAGCCAAATGACAGGTTCATTAGGTAACTCTTCCCCCTTTCGTCTCTTCCAGATTTAATAACTTTGCCCCTTTATCTGTATAAATAATTTCATTCATACACTTAAACATAACCATGCACTATATACACAACATGTCACAATTCACATGGATACAAAGATATGTTAAAGCATTCATTCATGTCTAAGTCAACAAGGATGTTCTTCTTAGGATCATTATAATACTGTCAGTCAATAAAAGTGGCAGAACGCAACCAAAGTTCTTTATGGCTACATAGATAGTTTACTTGATTACAGATTGTGACCTCTAGCTGTCAGTTTGTTGCTTTCTACAGGGTTGCCATTAATTGAATTAACATTTGCCTACTGTAACGTTGCAAAATCTATTACGTCAGCCACAGATCAAAATGATTCACCATGTTAGTCAATCTTCCTAGACCCACAAAGCAGCTGCACATTTGCTTACATTTTTATAGTCCGGTATTTGTTAGAAAACATGTTCTGGTTTGTGATGGTATGTTGCCAGCAAATGAGCAGCTAAGAGCAGTGGAGAATCTGGAAAGTCTATTACTCCTGGATTTAGCCCAATTTATCAATAACACCCGATGTGACTCACTAGCAGTGAAATAATCATCTTATAAACGTGTCCTCCAGGTTTATATAAGGAATAGGAAATTTAAAAAGTGGTAGCCTATACTTTTCCTCAAGGTTTGCCTTCTCAATCTAGGTATTGGTGGGCCACAAATGGAGGCCTAATTGAGCCTGTTGCAAATAAACCTAATGATGGATATGTTAAGATAGCCAATCTATCTAGTACTTCAAAGATATGAAAACGTAGCAAGTGCATGTTGTACACTTTACTTTGTAATTCTTGTATGTTAGAATTAATATACTTGGCATCTGCTGCTTGTAATCCCTGTACCATAGAACTGGGAGAGGTAGTGTTAGTATTATGGACCAATCAAATGTGTCCCAGTGTGCAAGTCCTAAAATTTAACATGGTTACAGGAGGAGAGAGCAAAGCAACCAGAGTAATGACCACATCTGTTTGCTGCTTTTTTACTGTCTAGTCACATGCTGGGGGGAAGGAATGCAACTGTGTTGTCAGACAGGGCTGCATAAGAAACATAGGTCTGAATTTGGAAACCAGTTAGTACAACCTAGAAGGTAAAATTAAAATGATTAACCTAGCATTTGATGACATGATTACAAGTGTCAAATATGCCTCTTAAAATAATCCAAAAATGGGCCCCATATTGGCCAACAATAGTTTATCTATGAAAAAGGAGAATGGCATTGCCTAGTAGTGTCAACAACAGGAGTTGCTGTACATGGTACAATTAGCGACATGTAGAGATTCCCCTTAAAATAACTGTATATTGTGTAGATCTCAAAGTACATTTAATTATGGTTCCTGTCTATGTACTTCATTTATAATTAGTGTTAATCATTATATTATGCTACTCCACAAAGCCTTTATTATTTCAAGGCAAATATTAAAGCTATAAAAACATTTCATACAATAAGCTAATGTAGCGAAACGGGAATAACCGCTACAAATCACTTTTATCAGCAACAGAAGGGGATACTAAAGAGTAATTTCACAGATGATTAATCAAGTAAGACAAGGGTTTTTCTTATACACATTTTTTTAATACACTTTTTTATACACTTATATATGGTCAAGATGAGAAAGGAGAGGAAGAATGGAGGAGACTTTAATATAGGCACACATATATACTGTATGGAAGATTAGGGGAATTAACTAAACACTTGTATTATAATAATTATCACGGTCATGTTTTAGATTGTGAGGCTATACTGGACTCCATGTGCATCTCTGTCTCCGCCGTGTGGCACTCTCTGGGGGTGATGAGAGGATTTCCATCCCCCTGGTTACAGGTCTCTCCATGATATTTGATCCCTAGGTAAGTGGTTGAATAAATGTAACCACACTAAAAGTACATACATGGTTAACTAATCAATTGACATACATAAACCTAAAACTGTGAATCAATGATGAATTCTAAACTTATGCATTATGGATGAACTCTATTGATGAATAATGTATCCTGTGAATCAATGATGAACTTGATTGATGAAAAATGTATCCTGTGAATTAATGATGAATGATGAACTTATGTATCATGGATGAACTTTATTGATGAATATTGTATCATGTGTTTAAAACTAGATTTGTGGGGCGTGGCCTGAGCATGGCGGTGAGTGGACGCTAATCCGCAGAGCTCCGCGGACCTGGGGTGATTTATTCAGCCGATCGACTTAACTCCTACCCTGCTACCCCATGAAGACATACCTCAAACGAAACTGTATGAATTACGATCATGTTAAAAATTATAAGTATATGAATTATAAATGTTATATAAATTAGCAACAATTACAGGGACATAGGAATCAAGCATATATATGTGTATGAGCACTGTTCTTAATGTATTTATATCTAAAAAAACGTTGAAAATACCAAGTTCGCACATCACTGAGCTCGGTCGCAGAATCCTCGCTACTGTGCTGGCAACAAAGGAGCTAGATAGGACATATACTAAAATATCAATGTAGGACAGATGTTTATGGCAACCTAGAGGTAAGGATTTTCAAGATTAGAAAGTCACATTAAACAGATCTTTTTCTTATAATGGACCTAAATTAAAAAAACAGACTTTTTATCCACTTGTCCCCATTACAAAAATGACCAAATATAGAACAAACGGAGGAAATATTTGGTTCCACTTGAGACCCCCTATTCTGGTTGGTGGGATCCCTTGTTTTCTGTGGGAGCAGACCCTGCAAGAACGTTTGACACTTTAAAGAAGAGACGTATTGACAAATCTAGTGCCTCTCTCACAAATCTCCTTTAAAAATTACAACCCTGATTTCCAAAATACTTACATCTGTCCTGGAACAGTTGTCCCCATGAATCCTATAACCTACTGAACAACAAACAGATGTGTGTGATGCAAACACTCTGACTGGCCAAATGGTTCCTCTGCCCCAAACAGATCAGAGCCTTCCAAACAGACAGAAGATAAGGTAAGGCAGCAGCCACTGGCACTCTGGTGGACCCAAATGCAGGACAGGGGTAGGTATTTGGATTGGTCAGGGTCTATTGAGAAGCATCAAGGTTGATGACTGGACCTTAAGTTTATTTTTGACTTTAGGTCCGCTTTAATGAAAATTAAATAAATGTATGATATTCTCAGTTTTTAAATTTAACACAGAGCAAGAGTTCCAAGGAACATTTAGGCAGACACCAACTTACATTTTCTCTACTAAAGGTGCTTACATCAAACAAGCTAGTGCTATTCCATGCAAATGAAGTAATTATCTAAAATTAACTGAACCTCCCATAATCATACCTATTATTGATCAATAATGATGTATCACTTTTATAAACTTTTTTGCCAATCTCTGCAGTCTACTTTATTTGAAGGTCACATTTTTGCTCCACCCCTTCATTTGCTTGCAGCCAGTGATAATCAGAAAAAGTACATATCTTACTACATTGTATATGCAGTTATCGATGACAGGCAGCACTCATGGGAACACAAAGAAAGTGTGGAATGGAAAAAAATATGTTGGTCTCTTTTAACACTATGCAGCAAGAACCAAGATTACTGTACTTATGCCACTGATTTTCCCTTTTAGAGGCACTCGCGGGAATACTGTCCAATGGCAGTTGGATTTTAAGCAAATATAAGGCAAATGCAGAGGCCGCATTGCCTTGTAGGATAAGCACTCATCATTTGATTATCTGCATACAGTAAATACTGTATATAAGGTAATATGTTCTTACCATGCACTACTTATAATCTGTAATACACTTGTGAATGTAAATTTCTGTAATGGTAAAAAGAAATAGGTGACCTGACCTACCACAGTACACATTCTTCCAGTTTCTACAAAATTATTGAAATGCTAGTCAGTTGAATAGCGCCTACAAGAACATTAGATTTGCTGTTACAACCCAAGCAACATGTCCAAAAACCACTATACATAGGGTACAATGAACATTGAACAAGCCATATAGTGAAAATATTATGTAAACAATATAGTAATACTGTGAAATAACTTAACTTTGTTAAAGTTAGCAAATTTTCATTCCTTTATGTTAGTGAAAATTATGTCTGTAGTTGCCATTCATAAAATACAATAGATACAATTTAAAAAAAAACACAAAAACCCCCAAAAGAACCTTGCACACAACACTAAATAGCAGAACTGCAGCGACACTCAGTGTTGTAATATTTAATTACAAAGTTGTGTATAACGGTGTACAAAAAGTGAATGGAAACACTAATGGAAACACAAAGATGTAGCCTAAGCCACAGGAATACTTGAACGAATGTGCTAAATTCAAATTGTGATTTTTGCTTGCTGTCTGTGATCACACAATAACCCGTAGTAATCAATGTACAATACTGAAGAAAATATGACTATCATAAACATACAACAATTCTGTTACTGAGAAGCACTAACCTGACAAGATCATATGTGCAGATAGACAAATGAGCTCTCAAAAATAGTTCAGAGCACATCTAAACGATTTCTACTCGATGGCACTGGTTTTATACGCTCTATTTTTTTCTGGCTTGCTGTAGTAATAATAATAATACTGTTTAAAAAAGAAACTAGCATCACAAATCTCAATTACAAATCAATTTTGGCACAGTACAGATATATTTTGTTCTGTTGTCCTTAATAAAGCCAACATGCATTGCCTTGTAGCCTAACCTGATACTTCAGTACTTGAGGCACAAAAGCCCCTTCTTTTTCCCATTTGGAGTAAAGCAATTACATACTGAAATGTCTTTATTCAATATTCAGAATAAAAAGCAGTGTGGTATCTGCTATATGGCTTTATATAAAAGAATGAATCCTACTATATTAATATATTTTTTGTTTTGTAATTCTTTTTTTTTTGTACATTACACAATTTTAAATACGCAGTGGTGTTCATCCATTTGTTTTCACAGAAGTGTTCAATGGAGCACTTAGAGCAATAACTCTAAAGAGAGAGATTACTTTGGATTCTATTTACAAACAACAAATTGGCACTTACAGAGTAAACGCATTAACTGGTGGCCCCTTATAACTTGCAAAGAAGAGAAACCCTGTTGTAATAATACATTTGACAACATTAACATATGTTTCCAGTTGGTACATTCTAGTAGAGGGTTTAGTTATTAAGAGAAAATCGTCTCCTCCTTTGTGAGTCTTACAACAGCGTGGTCTGCTAATCAAGTGACAGTAGAGGCTGCTGTGTGGTGTCGTCTTCATTTTTGTCATTGTGTTTTAACACCCCAGGATCCACTACGGACTGAGATCTGCAAATAGACAAAAAAAGGAATGTTTTTCAGACTATCAGCACAATCTTCTAAAAGTCCCTGGGGATAATGTCTTGACATTCAGTAATGTTTCTATCATTTGCAATGGAAAACATTTCAGCAATAATACATATTCATAACCTGGAAAAAGCAGTGAAAAGCTACTTCTACACAGTACGTGCTAGTTCCTCCATATTGATATGCATGTTGCTAGGCAAAAAGTGCTACTGTCGACTGGAAAGCAAACCTGACACAGGCTTCTTAGTAGAACATGGCATTTTGGCATATCAATAAACACATGCATAAAAATTGTTGAGAAGAGTTGTGCATAGTCTCATGTATTGCTCAACATATACATTTAAAATAGATGTAAACATTAACTCAAATTCAGGCTAACTGCATCATAAACAATTGTTCCCCTAAAATACTGCCATGCTAAAAATTGCCATGCTTTTCCCCCTAAAATACTGTACCTTTTGTCATCCTGTCTGCATCTCATTTCTGCTCATCTTCTGCAGCCTCCTTCAGATAATTCCTGTCTATATGCACTGACTGCAGTGTCAGCTGAATGCTATTGCTCTGGATCAGCTTCCTGACTGGAACAACAGCACACCATGCTGGCACAATGTATGTTGGGGCAACCATTCATATTCTCCATAAAGGTGGCCGTACACCTTACAACTATCGCACGACTTTCGTTGTGCGAAGGTTGTAAGGTGATTCAAATTTCATAAGACCTGCCCATCATGGACAGGCAAATCGTACTTGAGATCATCGCAAGTCCTCCCCGCTGAGGGGAGGGCTTGCAGATGATTGCAATGGTCAACGGGCAGTGTGCTCATGCGCATCTCGGGTCGTGCGGCTTTCGTCTTGCGATCACGCTACCAAACCAGCCAAAAATGGTACGGTTTTCGGCAGGTTTTCTAGCATGCTCGTTATACAAAAATCATACGACTGTACAGTAAATGTGGTCGCACGTTGCCCATCAACCTTACGATTATCGTACGATCGCGGGATCACACGCAATTATCGTACGATAATCGTCAGGTGTATAGGCACCTTTAGGGGTACATGTGACAAGGTGTCATGCAAGAGCAGTACTGGGAGACAGTTGTCAACTCATAACAGGAAGTGCCTGAACAAGGACCTTTATGACAGGATCACCAGGTATAACTTTAATGAAAGCTGCTTTATTTAAAAGATTAAAAACAACTTTTGGAACTACATTAACCTGTTAAGATTTGATCGTTAAGATACACGCCTATAGTGTGATCAAGGCATTCAACTGGCATTTTCAAAGCATTAAGGAGGCGTCAAAAACACTTGCAAAATTCCCTGCAAGTAGGGGAGTGTGTTAAAGGGTAAAGTGAGGTAGTAAAGGAAAGTGACTAGCAGTGGACCCACTTCTATTTTTTTGAAGGAGTCGCAATAGCTGAGCAGACTTGGGTCATGCAATTCTGGGTATTGCTCAACTGCTTGAATTAGCTATGCAACATTTATTTCAGACATGGCCAGTTATGATAGGTACTTGCAATGCCTGGCAGTGATATGGCTGGTACTGCTAAGCTGCCACTGGTATGGCTGCCACTGCTTTGGATGACACTGATAACAGCTGCCACTAAATGGTGGCATAGGTCAGGCTGTCACAGTTTGCAAGTACCAGGCTAGAAACTGTCCTCTTGCTGGCAAAACGCTGGCAGTGTGCAGACAGGAAGTGGCCTCTGCGCCTACTCTGTCCTCTCACTCTTTGATTCCCCAGTGGTTTCTGGGATTGCAAAACATCCTATGCCTCTCCTAAAACACCTGTGCAACGCTTCTTAAATGCCCAAAAAATGCTATAGGAGCACTGACGGAGCATTTGAGGGGCGTTTCAATATACTTCAATGGATGCATTATTCCAGCAGCAATGCCCCCAGAACACAACATGCATTTTATTTTTCAACACTCAGCAACACAACACAACACTAATGCCCATGTGTAAACAGCACTGGGCAGTTGATATGGCTTTATCCCACATTGGCATTAATAGGCAGCAGAGTGGCTTTAAAGTGCTTCTCCAATGTCTGGTTTTAACACACGTGTGAAAGAGACCCAGCCCTTGATCTAATCCACTGTTTAATTACACCCTCTCTCTTTTTATCATGTGTGCAGAGGATTCTAGGCTAATTAAACTTCTTCACAAAAAGAGTATTTCCTCATCCAACTGTCTTTTCCTTCCTAATAGAGTGCGGTAGAGGTGCAAATATTCATTCATACTACTTGAAACATAGCAGTCAACCAAACAAGGGTGGACAAGGACAAAAGGACATCATCATTAGCATACATGAGCGATGTCCCTTCTCAAGCTCCATTCACAAAGGAGTGGAACTGCTATAAACATAAACAATTTAATGTACATTGTTCAGACTTTTGCGGCAGCAGCATGGTACGAAACCGCGCGTCCCGCATAATAGTACAAGCACAATTTTCGGGCGAATTCCGTCCGACCATGGCTATAGTAATAGCCGCAGACAAGCGAAATCTGTGCAGTTGTAAGATCTTTAGCGTTTTTGCGTGCGCCGCACGGAAAACCGTGCAGGAAATGCAAACGCTATGTGTGAATGGAGCCTTACCCCATTTCTGTTCATTTATTTTATATACATGATTTACAATTCTAATTTTATTTTTAACCTAACCCTTCACAGTTTCTGGTTGCAAACATACATCTTAAAATGAACCTATCAGGATAGAATTGTGTTAGCTGCCATTGCTGATTTGTTTTTAAAGTTGCAAGTTCAGTGCTATTAAGAAGAGTGTCTAGTTATTCAAGCCAAGATAAGGATAGCATGGATCCTGGCTCTTGCACTTTGAAAAGCCAGTCAGCAATAGCAGATCCCTTGTTTATTTTCTCAAAGGTCCTTTTTTAAGTTGTATCTTTATTTTTAAGTTAAAAATAAAGATACAACTTTTTTAAGTTAACTTGAAAGATGTGGTGTCTCCAGAAAGCCTTGAACAAATCGGAGTGTGGAATAATAGTGCTTGAGGAATGACAGTTGCCATTTTTTAGTTTCATAGGTTGACAAGAAAACCCACATAATGAGACATGATGGAAATTGAAAGTAAAGCAAACCAATTCAATGGTCCAATGTGAGGATTGCAAGAGACGGTGTTGAGTCAAGCAGTTAGATGATATTGTGTAATTTTCTTTTCTATTTTAAAGTGAACCTAAAAGCATTTGTATTTTTATGTGAAGTGCATGTATGTTAAGTATTGTGAAAGTACAAAAGTTACAGGTATGTATTACCTCACACAGAGGTCACAGTACTCCCTCTGACAATGCCTTAATTAATTTTCTCTACAGAAAGACTGTGTCATCTTCATCCAAGCATCATCCATCGTCCATATAATTCCTGGACTGGCATGCTGGGTCAGATATGACATCATTTACATTACACCTTGTGCAGTTATTTATTGTGTTCACAAATGCCAGAATAGCCCTGCTTAAACCTCTACATTTACAATATTGCAGCCTGATAACTAAAGGAGAGGAGATTGAGAAAATGTTCCTCCTGCCTGCAGCAGACAAATGAAATCTTTTGCATGTAGGTAAAGTCACAGACTGGAGCTCAAGGACTGCTTTTTAATAATAACAGTTGCAACTTTTCTAAAAAAAAAAAATTGTAACTGTAAATTTTGATGTCAATTATTTCTCAATGTGGAGATGTAAATTTTTCCAAAAGGTCTGCTTTAAATATAATTTAACATACCTCTTCATGTTTTTAGGAGATAAATCTTTTTCCACATCCACTTTTGTTGGCATACTGTACGAGTCTACATTATATTCAGTTTCATCATCATACTCATGATCCAAAAGTGTTCTTGCCCATGTTCCCATGTCGTATGGGGGCAACATCCCTCCAAACTCAGAAGGTAGGATCTCTGGGTGGATCAGCTGATGCAAACTGTTAAGATTATTACCATGTAAAAATATCTGTAATATAAAAGAAGGTAATTAGGAGTTTGTTACTGGCATTTCGAATGATGTTTTATAAAATAATTTTCTTTTTCATTCCCCCTAAATCCCTGAGATTTAGGTACATACATTTTTATTTCCTATGATTTAAATATGAAGGAAAACTGGGTAAAGAGACATCCTGTAAATTTACCCAAATGCATCTTTTCCTTAGCCCAAGATACTGTATTTATACCAAAATATAATCAACGAAGCCTTCTGACTAAAAATATATCTCATAAGTCCAATTTAGAGGTTGGAGAGGTTAAGCTCCGGGTGAAAGTCTGTATTTTAATCGAAAACCTTATTTCCCCTTTTGATGTTTCATCAAGAAGCTCACAGGAAAAAAATAATATGTTTGTATAAATAGTGTTATTTTAAGATTTAAAAAAATCAGGTGTCAGAATTAGAAGGGACTTAGCATTATGATGCAATTTGCAAGAGTTTGCAAGTACAAAAATTCTGAATGACATGGCACACACTTGCTTAGGTTTTTGACACACATGCAGTAGGCACAAATGTTATCCACAGTACCTGGCATATTTTCTGGGAACTGGGAATTGATGGGGAAATTGGATATTTTTATTGATGTATTCATTGTTTTCTAATAAATTTGTTTTATGCATTTTTTATACTTTTTTCCTCATGAGACTATTTATACTTAGAGGTCTATTCACTAAGCTGCCGATGGCAGCCGAGTGAATAACCGACCCGAAGTGAAGTGAGCTGAACGCTGTTCGTCTATTCACTTCAGGCTTGTACAGCTGATTTCAGCCATATATCGGCTGAAATCAGCCGTACATCGGGTGGCTACGTGTGGCTTCGGGTCGGCAAAACATGCTCAGCATGTTCGTCCGACCTGAAGTGCAGAAGGAGTTCGACTCAGTCGAACCTCCGGCAGGCTACTGGCTGCTGTTTGGCCTATTCTCATAGATGCCGAACAACAGTGAGTTAATAGCTGCTGAGCTATTTACTGTGGTACCGAGCAAAATAGAAAAATAGTTAAAACGGTAGAAAAAAAATATAAAAAGATTGTGTGGAGCTAGCAGTGACAGCTAGCTCCGCCCAACTGTTTTCTATTGGCCGGGCGGTTCTGCTGCCGTCAAAAAAAAAATCACCATAGGAATGCATAGCTAGATTCCTATTGGCTATTTCACTTTGCAATAGCAAACTAGCTATTGCACCCGCCCTCTGCTGCTGTCAATTACCAGAGGGGGACCTGATGGAGAACTGCAGGTCCCCCTCTGCTGATTGACAGCAGCAGTGGGCGGGCTCAATAGCGAGTTTGCTATTGGCTATTGCAAAGTGAAATAGCCAATAGGAATCTAGCTATGCATTCCTATGGTCATTTTTTATTTTATTTATTCTGAGGCAGCCAATGGCTCCTATGTCAGAAGAAAAAAAAAACGAGCAGGGAAAGGTTTACTCTGCTCGATCGAGCAGAGTGAGCCTTTCTGGGAGAAAGTGTTTCTCTCCCTGGCGGCCAGGAGCCGTATTGGACTGCCAGAGCGTCCGGGAGAGTAATGACAGATGGTGTCCCTGGTTACCAGGTAATCAGGAACGCCATCTGTCATTACACACTGAGAACACTGAGAGGCCACTGTGATATCATAGCGGCCCCGCCGGGTTCTCACTGTGTAATGACGGTGTCCCTGGTTACCTGATAACCAGGGACGCTGATCTCTCCGCAAGTAGCCGGAGCCAGCCGTAAGATAACGGTTGGCCCCGCCCAGCTGTCAGAAGCAAGCTGTCGGCCGGCCTTCGGCTCAACTGAGCCAGTCGGCCAAAGTCAGGAGCTGTACGGGTTATAATGAATAGCCCGCACAGCAGCCCTTCGGTTCTGCTGAACCGAAGGGGTCCTGGGGGCGAAGCTAGCCGAAGAATAACCAGAAGCTACGGCTAGCCCTTTCGTCAGCTTAGTGAATAGACCCCTTAGTATCCACTACCTGCAATTACCATCAAGATATAGGTCACTATTGGAGTAATCTGCTGTTGCAAGAAAAGGCAGAGCAGTGCAAGATCAGCTCTGCCCTATTTAAAGATGCATGCAAGAGCTCACAGGAAGTACTGATGAAATCAAATATTGTTATTTACACTTTAAACACAGTGCAAAAGCTTTGTGTTGCAATGCGCAACAGAACTTTGTTTGTCCTTGTGTCAATGATAAACTTCAGTGTGTCTTCAGGTGCATTCCACCTGCTTTTGAGATCAATTTGAGATGCTTCTGTGATTATTTACATTCATTGACAGGTGCATGTGATCTGCTATTGACCCCCTTCTACCTGCATTTGACCTCATTCTAAGCTCTATCAACATGTCTTGCATAGGGAAAGAACCCGTTCCAACAGGAACAAAAACCTATTAACATTGGCCTTTACTGTGCAGTGTTTAGAAGGACTAGGAACCCAGGAGGTAACAAATTCAATTTCTGGCATTAGCTCTGGATGGTGGCTGTCAATAATAACCACGAGAATCTGCAGTATTGGGACAAAATAGCGTAGAAGCCAGATTTTTTTCAGTTGTTCATCGTGTAGTAAGTGTACATGCATAGAACTGGATTGCATAAAAAAATTGTGTAAATAAACCTGTCCTGAGCTAGAAATTGATGTATCTTCTCCAAGCCCTGGGCTGGCTGTCATTACCCAAGAAATGCATTTTTAGGATCTTTATGCACTTACTAGCAAAATGCATGTAGGTTCCATAGGTTCAATCTGCTTGATATGTAAAGGACAATTAAGATTGCAATACTTTATTCCACTCCTAGGGTATACAACTAAAGCTGCAGTAAAGCATCACTGTCACCAAATAATATTGTCTAATAAAGTGCCTTTATTTATATATGCTTACCACATATGCATGCGGACTAGCAAAAGTCACAGTGGCAAGGATTTTTAATAAATATAGTGCTACCATGGGTGCATGCAGTGTCATTTTTACAGGGCAGCTTTGTTTGCCTGTAACTGTGAGAAAAATATAAATAAAGACTTGTGATATTAAAAAAGAATTAATAAAATTATTATTATTGCGTGCACTAATCATATACAGTTAACAGAATACAATGGTTTTTTTTTCTAATAGCATGCAGTCTTGAGCATCAAGAAAAGTAAAATTTGGTGTAAGAAGGAGAAAGTGCAGGCAGCTCCTGGAACAGTAAAGATGGATGCGACATGAGTTATCACCTTCAAAAAAGGAAACCGTGGGTATTCTGTGCTGTATTTATGCACCTGGTAAAGTTTCCAGCTTCCAGCATTAAAAAGGAATGACCAAAAATATAAGGTTTATATGATACCTCAACACTTTTTATAGGCTTAGTCCCAGTGCTGAAAACTACCCTTACAACTCTCACCACTTACAAAGAACCTTCAGAGCATATGTGATTTTACTGTAAGGTATCAAATGTTCATAGTTCTTTTCTGTTAGCAAAAGCTTCCTAGCAGCTGGTATAATGGGTACAGTGTAATAACTATAGCTGTGCAAGCCACACATTCTCAAAATGATTTGGCAGATCCAAATTACTATTCTGCTGCTTCAAGTAAAAATGAAAAGCCACAATATCAGCCATGCTTGCATACTATATTAGTGTGTTCTTCCAGCCCCCATTTTTTTTCTACATAATATATAACCTCTAATAACCACTGATATTATGGCTAGGTCCTACTTCTTTTTATATCCCTTGGCAATTGATTGTTGATTCTGTCAGTTTCAGGGTTCATTTTCTGGTGGAGGGCCGACAAAGCTTTATAGCCACCAATGAAATTCCTGGCCACCATTCAAATTGCCTCTGTGTTTTTGGCCCTGCATTGTGCCCAGTGAATACAATCCCCTACAGCTCCACCCCTCAGGATATTGTAATCGGCTGTAAGTGTAATGCAGTGCTACTACAACAGTAGGACGCTTGTCCTGACATTATTCCTTCCTGCTGCACCTGTCAGTGTTGTTGGCTTTACAGTCATTCTACACTTCCTCCCTGCCTTTACTTTAGAACCTGTTAAATTCCCTACCTGCTGCTTGCAGTAAGGGTTTAAAGTCATGTGACCACACATGTGAAGCTTTTTTCCAAACGTTTCATAAAGAAAATGACAAAGTGCCATTGGTGCTATTAGTTGTAGTGTGCCTTTCCATCTACGTTAAAGCCCATTTCCACCTTTGCAGAGGTATTTAAAAAAAACATATGCCAGCAATGTACACCGAGAGAACATGAAGCAGGCATATGCAGCTGATATATATATGAACACAGAAACTTACATTTTTTGTTAGCTTTCCTCTTCATATCTGCATGGAAATGTCTGCCTCTGTGCTATGCAGAAAATGTGTGTATACCCCCCCCCCCATAATACAGTGTTTTATGTGTAAAGGCAGAGCTGGTGTTTACTGATCATGTTACAATGGGTGACGGGGAGGGGGTAGCTGATTACAGTCTGACACCCTAGTGTCAGATTGATTTTCCTGTGGATAAACTTTTGGATTTTTAGGCTTCAGGCCTAACAAAACCTTAATAAATAATGAAGAAAGCCTGCAATAAGAATGTCCACATGTACACATCATCATTGCACCTCTACATTATCACAATAAATGCTAATAACTTACGTAGGTGGAAATGGACTTCAGGTAGTGGTATCGTAAGGGAATGAAAAAAAAAACTGATTGTTTTATACAGCGCACGTTTTACTTTATAAGGTGATATAATAAAGTTACCCTTTTCCTTGTCTTTTCCTTTAAGAAGGGCCGAATAACTGTGTATAAGGCATGAATATACCATGGCTGATTGACAAAATGGATCCCCCCAAATCGAGCTGGAAAGCTATCCTGAAAAATAGAATAAAATGTACTTATGTAAAAAAGAACAAGACAAAAAGCATAACACGTTTAAGATACTTGCTTGAAGCTGGAGTCCAGGAAATAAAAAGAAATCTACAATTTATTCCAGCTTTGTAATTGAGTTTTTACTAGAGAGGAACAGCAGGGTAATCCAGGGAGCTTCTATCTAACTTGATGACAGCAGTAAAGAGCAGAGTAAGCAGCATGATGACCTTATCAGTGTAGTGATGTTCCTACATTGCATACTCATTAGGCTATAGGTTTGTGACCATGCTGTATTGCTTTTTTGGATCAGAAGAAGTTAGTAAGGTCACTAACCTCGCTATCAAAACCCTTTGTGGGACCCCATTTGGGCTCTCAACCTACAGGTTATGTACCTAGGTGATAGATGGTCACCTTATACTGTACACAGGAACATATAGAGAAACACTGGCAGATGACAAGTCACTTAACTGCAGGGTAAGGATGGATGAGCATCTTCTAGTAGGAGATCTAAACAACAGCGTAGAAATATATGTCCACTGTCCTATAAAAACAGCTTGAATGGAGTTGATTTTTAAATAGTAAAGATAAAACCTGAAACCACATTCCTTGTTCATATATATCTGTAAAATGTGTTTGCCTTTGAACAACCTAGAAAATAATCTACAATAAACCTCCAGTAAATTAAAATCTGTTTTTATGTATAATTTACTCTTGCCTTTGGGTTTCCTCTGAGCGTGTTGTGTGCAGCCTGTAAATAAATTGCTATTTTTGTCTTATCTAGCTCACTTCATCTGCCCTTTGTTGCTAAATAAATGGCAATGAGTGCGAACAAACTGAAACGTGTAATTAAAGACATCGTTCTCTAAATATATATTTAAACAGCAATTAAGAGGCAAACATTGACTTAAGAAGTAAAAATGTGTCCTGTGGGTATAAAATTAAGACATTTTAGTTCATACCAATTTTAAACCAGATATTGTTCTTTTGAATAACAAGAAATTTCCGCGCTCTGTCTGAAATATTTTACAAAAGATACAGCCCTGAAAATACATCAAAAGAAACAATTGCAAATAAGTATTTCTAAGTGAGGGAAATTGAAAGCTTCAATAAAAAACTGGTAAAAATACCAGCCGGAAAGTATTTCTAGTAAGAAGTCAGTCTGGGGACCTTTCCTTGAAGGAAACCTTTACTGAGGGATATATTTGGGAAGTCAATGCAAACCTCCCAAAAATGCTGGTTGCATGGCAGATATGCTGATCCACTGACTTGGCATGACTGATGTGGTGAGTGAAGTCAAAGTAAAGTGTAAATTCTTGATTTGCATACTTATTCCAGATTGCATACTCAAGACATTAAGGTAAGGAAACTATTATTTGTTGAATGTCAGATCAGCAATGGCAACCTCCATTTTCCTGTTAACTTAGTTTGCCTTTAAAGCCCAACTCCGCCCTCCCACCCTCTAGTCCCCTTCTTCGCCTGGATTCCCTCCAACCCTGTATGCATTTTGTTTACCTATTTTATATAACTTTTTTTCTGATGTTTTTAGGCAGGTCATGTGATATGCAAGGTCCTATTTTCTAGTTGCTTCTTCCCTGATGCCAGATGGTCTTTAATGTTACGTCTTTGTTCTCTACATCATTGAACCGAGAGTGCAGAATGCTGCTATGAAGCCCCCCAAGGGGCAGGTCCATAATGACATGCACTCAAGTTGGCTGAGCATCATTCAACCTGGAAAACTGGCAACATCTAGTAGCGGACAGAGCTATTAGAGCTTTTTTATTTTTTTTATAATGGCTGGATCACTAAGAAAAATAAAATAAAAATGGAGTTGGGTTTTAAGGTGTCCCCTAACTTCAGAGAAAGTTTGCCCAATCTGGCTCACTAAGGTTGGATCAGGAAATGTTTATATGTCTGTAGCTGTGAGCTGACTATGGCACACATCTTCCTGCCTGATCTGTCTTTGGGAGAGGTCACTGACCAGGTTAGATTTTTATTAGCCGTTCATTATTGTTTTCATCCATTGGATGTCAATATGCATGTTTCTCCCACTGTGGCAAACACTCGGTTACCGTGTAAAGGTGCAGATCCTTGCAAGGATACAGCATCTTTTAGCATGCAAAAGGTCTCTATAGGTGTGAAATTAACTGCCAGTTGGGTGTTGCCCACAAACCAGTCATTGCTCTATCTCCAGGAGACTAATTTTCTGCAGGAGCATCATGTGGGTACAGACACATGAGGTGAATGTTTGCCTTGGCCTGTCTGGCCTTACAAACAGGTGTACTGGTCCAAAGCCGACTGGGGGTCAAGGCAGACCAAATAGCTAAGAGGCTGAGTCTGTCAAATCTCTCCATTTTATGCTTAATCTCACATCATATTATTTTGTTTTAATAAGATCTTCTCTACTGACAGTCAGCTAAATGAAATACATATATGGAGAAACACTTAAAAATACATTTAGATTTAGGACTAAATACCATACAAACATGAAATGTATAAATAGGAGCTGTGTTCCACCTGTTCATTCATGAATTTCTGAATGGGGAGTAGCACTCCCTATGATATATTTCTATATGCTTTATAGTTATAAAACTGTATTAGTAAATTACATACTATATATAGAATTTGACAAATGATTTACATAGAATAATGAAAATTAGAAAAGGAATAAGGTATCACTGAGGAAAGCTGATTACAGTTATGCCCCAGCGGTTCAGCTTAAGCTTAGCTTCATTTTCAGAACATCTATACAAAACCGATAAGCTCTTCTTTAGCCCCAAGATATGGATCAGCTCCAAGATCCTGAATGGGAAACTTACCAGTCCAAATTTTTACTATATTGCTGCAGCAGTATGCAAACCAAAGATGGCTTTCAAGTGCTTCTAGGCACAACTTCGATGAATTCACAAATGTAAGAATGTCAATGTCTACTAAATTTTGCAATGTTTGTTCAGATCATATTTTTTAAGTCAGATTTTTTTGTTTTCTATTTTTCTTCCTTCACATTTTTTTCTCTATAATTTTTGCTGCAAGCCAATGTACAGAAGTCCATCTTTTCTCTTACTAAAAGAGACAGAGAGAGAAACAATTTCTAAAGGCAAAGCAGATTTAGATAAGCTATGGATATCAACTACTGGGAGTTGATATTTTTGTCTCCCATCCACATCACCTTGACTATGGCTGTGGGTGACATCATATGAATTCCAATGCTCTGTGGCAGACACAAGAGCCCAAACACAGGGGTCTATTCACTAAGCTGCCGAAGGATCTAGCCCTAGCTTTGGTTGATCCTTCGGCTAGCTTCGACCCCCAGGACCCCTTCGGTTCAGTAGAACTGAAGGGCTGCTGTTCGGGCTATTCACTATAGACCATACAGCTCCCGAAGTTGGCCGAGCGGCTCAGTCGAGCCAAAGGCATATGCCTTGGCTCGACTGAGCTGAGGTGAAAGCCGAAGCTGGCCGACAGCCTGCTTCTGACAGCTGGGCAGAGCCAGCCGTCTTCTCACGGCTGGCTCCGGCCACTTGCAGAGAGATCAGCATCCCTTGTTACCAGGTAACCAGGGATACCATCTGTCATTACATAATGAGAACCCGACGGGGCCGCTATGATATCACAACGGCCTCTCCGGGTTCTCAGTGTGTAATGACAGATGGCGTCCCTGGTTACCTGGTAACCAGGGACGCTATCTGTCATTACTCTCCCGGATGCTCTGGGAGTCTAATAGGGCTCCCGGCTGCCCAGGAGAGAAACACTTTCTCACGGAAAGGTTTACTCTGCTCGACCGAGCAGAGTAAACCTTTCCTTGCAATCTGTTTTCTTTTTTTTTGCTGACATGGGGCCGCTGGCCGCTCTGTCAAAAAAATTAAAAATCCAGCATACAAATGCATAGCTAGATTCCTATTGGCCATTTCACTTTGCCAATAGCAAACTAGCTATTGCACCCGCCCACTGCTGCTGTCAATCAGCAGAGGGGGACCTGCAGTTCTCCATCAGGTCCCTTTCTGGTGATTGACGGCAGCAGAGGGCAGGTTTTGCTATTGGCTATTGCAAAGTGAAATAGCCAATAGGAATCTAGCTATGCATTCCTATGGTGTTTTTTTTATTATTCTGACGGCAGCAGAACCGCCCGGCCAATAGAAAACAGTTGGGCGGAGCTAGCTGTCACTAATAGCTCCGCCCAATCGTTTTCTATTTTATTTTTCCACTTTTTTAACAGTTTTTCTATTCTGCACGGTACCGCAGAGGTACCAGGCAGAATAGCCAAGCCAAATGCCGATGTACGGCTGATTTTAGTCGGTGTGAAATTAGCCGTACGAGTCTGAAGTGAATAACCAAACAGAGTTCGGGTCACTTCACTTCGGTTCGGTTATTCACTTGGCTGCCTACGGCAGCTTTGTGAATAGACCCCACAGTCTTAGTCTCCACTCCACAATTAATCACAGTCAAAGAAGAAAGTAGCCGCACTGCAGAGTAAAAAGCTGTCATCATAATAAGACTGGATGTGGGCAATAGCCACAGCAAACTCTCATATTGACCAAATATATAGACATACATTTAAAAATAATTTTTTAAAAGAAGATCTTGTTGACGTCTTATTTCAATAAGCCATAGTCAATAGATCTGACTGCTGGACTTTTTTGTCTAATTTATATGGACATGAAACTCCACCTTTGTGGACCTCTATGGACCTCTGCTCCATTGAAAATTGAGTCTTTACTTAAGTCAGTGCATTTCTGTCACTGTGTACACATGACTGCTGTGTCATGCAGGAACCTCCATTCATCGCAGAGGTTAAAGGAAGCTCAGTCAGTCATTTCCATTAAAAACTGTCAAATAATTTACTCCATGATCACACTATTACAAAGGGGTAACCACAACAGTGCAATTGTCATGTCTCTAGGAACACATTTTTCACAGTTTCTTAGGTGAGATGGTAATATGTAGACTTTAGCTTATTATTTTACCTTTCTCAGTCCACTAGTCAGTGTTAATCTTTATAAGCCTAA